AAGGTGTGTTTTCAAACGATCAGCAGAATCTCCAACCTTCTTAGTGAGTGGGTCTTGAATGGTTAGCTTCTCAGCCTCTGGGTGGACTGAGCTGGATCCAGTGGCTGTTGAGCTGCCCTGATCTGCTCCTGTTGGCAAAATGGAGTGGGAGAACCAATGCCGCTTCTGAATCTACAGTGTCTTTTTTTTTAATTTTACAATACTATTCAGTTCTACATAATAGCCACAGATTCCCTTGTTCTCTCCCTTCCTGCCCCCCTTACAGTGTCTTAAGTCCACATCATCTCTGTGGTCTAAAAAAGTCTTTGGAGTGATCATCATCTGAAAGAGAGCAGAAAATCGTAGAGCTCAAATTCAGTGGCAGAGAAAACCCTCCACCAAAAATGGATTTAAATGAACAGTAGGAGACAGGGATTTTCAATCAAGTCTTCTGGGTTGTGGCTTAGTGAATGAAAAAGTATCACAAAGATTGGCTATAAATCTCCCTTCTGTTCATTGCCTTCTACAAATCACTTATCCTTTACTAAACAGAGGCACATACTTTCTGTTGCTCAATTCTTGGTCCCTGCTAGAGTCATTAGCAACTTTCCAGCACTCTGTTGGGCTGGGAGGCTGACACACAGGCTTAATTTCAAAATTCTGTGGAGTTTTCCTCCATGCTTTGTTACAGACTAGGGTTTGTACTCAATTTTTTTTTTATTAAGAATTATATAAAAGAGCCGGGCGGTGGTGGCACACGCCTTTAATCCCAGCACTTGGGAGGCAGAGCCAGGTGGATCTCTGTGAGTTCAAGGCCAGCCTGGGCTACTAAGTGAGTTCCAGGAAAGGCGCAAAGCTACACAGAGAAACCCTGTCTCAAAAAACGAAAAAAAAAAAAAAGAATATAAAATAAATATTCTCTATATATATATTATATATAATATATATATATAGAAGAATTATATGTTGGGTGTTGTTGATGAATGCCTTTAATTCCAGTGCTCAAGGATTGAAATGATTTCATATTAAAATTTCAAACCCCCAATTTACAGTATTTCTCAGGGTCACAATTGAATAGCATACAACAGAGGTTATTTACTACGTTACTTTGGCAGGTCTGAAAGATAAAGCAATTTGTATGCTGTAAGAGTCAGCACTGTAGTGATTCTCTCTCTCTTTTTTAAAAAAATAAATTAGCAACCAACAGAAAACATTCAGTTCCTACTGAGCCCAAGGCCTGAGCCGCATAAACCTTGTTAGGTCCACTTGTACAAGTATAACCCAAAGCATTATAGACAAATGGTGGGAATCAAATTTAGAGTGGGTAGGAAAACAACAGAAAATTGGTAGAGGCAATCTACAAATTTGAGAACCAAGTTAAACAACTTAAATTTCAATTGGCTAATAAAATTAAGCAATGTATACAAGATTTCTTAATTATATTTGTCCCTTTTATGTTTTAAATGTATCCACACTCAAGTGTTAGATTAAATGCAACATGTCCAGTAATTGAACCTGAAACAGATAAAGGTCAAAGCAAGTAAAGTTTGTACTTAGAGTTAGGATGTAGCTGAATAGTGTTGTGCTTGTCTAGCAGACTCAAGAAACTGACTCCAGACAAACAAAAAGTTGGAAGTTTAATTGATGATACTGTACCCATACTATTTTTCAAAGATTCATTTATTTTTATTTTATGCATATGGATGTTTTGCCTGCATGTACATCTGTGCACTACATGTGCTCAATACCCACAGAGGCCAGAAAAGGGGGTCAGGTCCTTTGGAATGACATGTGGTTGGTTGTAAGCTGTCATGTGAGTACTGGGAACTGAAGAGCAGCCAGTGCTCTCAACGGCTGAGTCATTTCTCCAGCTCCTTGTTCTTTGCTTTTTGAGACGGGGTCTCATTATACAGTTTGGGAAAGCCTTGAATTCATTATGTAGCCTAATCCTCCAGTGTTAGCCTCCCAAGTGCTGGGATTACAGGCATGCACCACTATGTCCAGCCTAATGTTTTTCCCATTTTGATGATGACCTAATATATTCATTAGGACATGCTAGGCAAATTTGGACTATCATTTCAATTTTCTTGTAAACTGTAAAACTTTGCAAAATGGTAGTTCAAACTCAGTCAGAATCCATAGCTGTAGTGGTCTTAGAAGCAAACTTGCTGCTATTGTTAAGCTAAACTCCCGTGGCATCAAACTGTCTCCTAAATATCTATGTTTAGAACTCATAGGTAAATACTACTCCCAGCCATAATCAGAGAAGTCTCTCTTTGCAGGGAACTGCAGTGAATGCAGACTCATGGCTGCTCAAGGTGCTGAGAAGTGACTGTTGAATGCTCAGCTCCAAACAGAACATTTATACCACCTACTCTTAGGCTCAAGAATCATAGCAGAAGAGGCATAGGAAGAACGTAAGAGCTGGAAGATGGAGGAAGGACTATGAGATGTCTTCTGGGCATGGCAGAACCATTGCAAACATGACCTCAAAGCTGCTGTGACTGCTTGCAATGGGCCTATACAAGACTGGGTCTATTACTCAATCATGAATCAGAAAGGGGGGCTTGCATGGCTCTATGCCTCCTTGAACTATTGAGACTACTGATGATGAATTCTGTCATTGACTTCAGTGTGTACCCATGTGTTATGTGATATTTTGATTGTGTTCTGACAAATAAAGCTTGCCTGGAGTGAGAGAGCAGAGCTAGCCATTAGCTGACCATAGAGGTTTGGAGGATTAAGGACAGATAGCATACAGGAAGTAGTAAAGCAGGGCACAGGGAAGGGCTTGGCCCTTTTGGATGGAGGAATGGAAGAGGTAGAAAGCAACTGGAGGCTGCTCCCCTGCTTCTCTGATCTTTCAGGTTTTTACTCTGATATTTGACTCCTGGTTTTTTTTTATTGATAATGATTAATTAGATTAATACTTCACCCACAAAGAGTCTATCAGGCTCAATACATAGTTGCAAAGCCTTTGTCACAGACAATTCTGATTAAACTCAATGGCTCTCAAAGGATCATGATGAGGAGACATGACTGAGGGAAAGAGAAAGGGAAGTGGGGTGGGAAGTAGGTAAGAGAGGGTAAAGGACTGCAGTAATCAGAATGCACTTTGAACATGTAAGACATTTTAAATATCAATTTCTTATTTATATTTCATTATTGTTATCATTTTCTGGGTAAGTTATGGGAAAAGAGAATGAGCTTGCATTCAATAATCAAAAACAAACAGAAAAATGCATGCATTAGGTTAAACATTCTGACATAATTCAAATGGTAGCATTTTTTTAGACTTAACAGGAAAAGTCTAATAGTAGCAAATGAATACTCTGATTAATAAAAGGTAAGTAAATCTATGGAAACTAACATCTGATATTTGGGTTAATATTTATGATTAATCTACAGAGATTTAAAAAAAAAACACCAAGAAGCAAAAACCAAATAAACAAAACACCCAACTGTTACAGGTTCAATGACAATGACAGTTTCCAAGTCCAGGAACAGTGGAAGAATCTAGTAGTGGTTTCCATACTATGCATTTATGCATTTTCTTTCTTTCTTTTAAAGATTTATTTATTATGTATGTATACAGTGTTCTGCCTGCATGTGTCCCTGCAGGCCAGAAGAGGGAGCCAGATCTCATTACAGGTGGTTGTGAGGCACCATGTGGGTGCTGGGAATTGAACTCAGGACCTCTGGAAGAACAGTCAGTGCTCTTAACCTCTGAGCCATCTCTCCAGCCCATTCTATGCATTTACAAATAGCTGTATTTAATGAGAAGTGAAGAAGCTGTCACATTAAGGTATAGAAATGTGGGGGATAAAATAACACATTCAAGAGTCTAGTAAAAATGAAGACATCTTTAATATACGGTTCTGCAGAAAGGGACGCCAGCATAGGAAAGGGGAAAATGACTGACTTGGTGATCTGGCACAAGAAGATGATTTTTTCAAGTCCCTTTGTCTGGTGAAATTCCTCTTTCTCATAGGCTAGGACTTGCCCCCTTCCCAATGAATAATTTGGGGCTTAAGACCCCCTTTTTAAATCTAGGGCTCAGGCATGTAGCACACTGCCTGTAACTTTCTAATTGTCAAGAGTTCTGAGGCAAGCCTTTGCCAGGTGCCAGCTCGGGGAGAGGCCTGAGGCCTGGGGCCTCCTGCTATCTGTCACTAACTTTTAAAACGCCTCACACTGAAAATAGAACATGACAAACAACTTCTTACAGTTCCTCTCGAATGCACTACCCTGGCCGGTGAATGAGTCGCATTCCGCTAGGAAGCATTCTGAACCTGGTAATTCTAATGATAGAAAAAAATAAAATGAGCAGTGTAGGGAGACCCCTCTAGTATGCCTGTGCACATTTTGTCACTGAAAGCGCAAGGAGGTGGTGAGCGGGGCTGATACCCAGCCTCTTCCTGATGCTTCCTCCCCAAACTAAGGAACGGTAACTATGAGCTCACGACAACAGACACAGCCTTCACACAAGGGCAGTTCTCACCACAGGTGAAAACTCTTGGCTGACTCCCAGAACAGGTTAGGATTTTTGTTTGCCTCCCCTGCACCCAAGATTCTTCTTACAGAGCTGACATTATGGCACTTCTTTCAACACTTCTGCGCCACAAGTTTTAAATGATTGGTTCCTGAAGTTAACGCTTTGGCTAGTGTTTGCTCAGGTCGGCATCCAGCAGTCTTGTAGGGCCCTTCGTGTCCTTTACACGTTTGGCTTTTCTCCTGTTGAGGGGTTTTGCACTCGGAGAAAATTCTGGCACCTCATAGTTCCCCCGGCGACCATAAAAACGTGTGAGGCAGGCCAGGCTCCGTGCATTTCGTTCCAAACGTCAACTGCAGAGGCTCCTGCTCTGGCACACTGCTCACACCTAGCCCCGCATTGCACTGTCCTTCCTCCACCCGAGATCCGCAGACCGCCCAGGGCGCACGCCTCTCTTCCGCCGGCGCACTAGACCACGCACGCGCCGGCCCGCTAAGGCGTCACCTCGGCGGGCAGCGGTGACGTCAGAGCCGCGCGGCAGCAGTGACGTCAGAGGCGCGCCGCGCCGAGATTCGTGCGGGTTCTGCGGGCGGGAGTCGTGGCCCCTTCGCGCTCATGGTGCGCTGCGGTTGCGCGTGGTTCAGAAAGGTCCGTGTCGGGGGTCCTGCCCCGCTAGGGTGCTTCTCGCCGCTCTCCGCGGTGTCGTTCCTCAGTTCCCTCTGTCCTGGGAGAAGCTGGGGCCCCGCTTTGGGGAATTCCTAGCAAACTCCTCAAAGCACGTGGGAGGAAAGTCGGGGTACCTGCCTGCGGTTTAGACACGGGATTGTGGCGTACAGCGGCTTTTGCTTTTATTTGTTTGTTTTGGGTTTTGGCTTTTTTACTGTTGTTTTGGCTCTCGTTTAAAGTAGTACCCATACTATGGGTTTGTTGTCGGTTTTTTTTTTTTTTAATATACGTTTTTCCTCCTTTGCACTGCTTTCAATATCTTTCTGAAGACCTTGTTCTGAAGCCAAAGTGTGTAATTGTTGTGCCTCTTACAGAGATTTTAGCTCTTATGTAGTGCTTGTCTAAGAATCCATTTTCATAACAATCGTCAACCAACCGCTTGAATTAAAAAATCAGAATGGGCTAAGTAGTAATGGTTTTGAAAACTAGACGTCATCTTACTTAAGCCCCATTCCCTGTTACTAACAGCCATTATAAGATGGCTCTTATAAATAAGATAACTTAATAGATCTCACGAATCTAGAAAGAAAAAGTCACATGTTAAACACAGCTTTAAAAGCCCTTACCAAGAGTGTATCAGGGCGGTCAGTCTTCACTTTTTTAAATCCCCAGATATTCCTGATACCTAAAAGTATTTCAGATTATCAAAAAATGTGAATATTAATTTAAGGAATTACTCTGTAATTTGAAAGCCTTGGATTAATACACGATCTTTATAGGAGGTTGCTGATTTAGGGAAACAGAGACACACGTAACTGCAGAATAAGATTTCAGAAAGTGTAATCCAATTTCTGAGGAAGCCTGCAAAGGCAGAGTAAGGGTCAATGAGAGCAATGTGCCTCAGATGCCTCAGATCATAAAACCATATTTTAAGCCATATTTTAGTTCTGTTATTTGAGAATACATTGGAAATCTGACACCAGAAAGTAGGTTTATGATAGAAAAGAAATGATAATCTAAGTAGGGGAAAAAGTGTGCAGAGCATGGCAGGGAGGCTGAGCAGATCACTGCATAGAAAAGAGCAAGGAGGGGGAGAATGGGAAAGTTCTAACAAGTAAAAATAATACTGGGACGTCAAGCTGAAGGACTTGAATACAGCTCGGTGAATATTGTTATTTCATAAGCAGTAAAACCCCAAAGTCATGATTGTTTCTCTGTAGAGGAAAATTCAGACATCAGATTCACTTAAGAAAAAAAGAAAAGAGCTCTTGGCTCATGGTAGTGGATGCATTAAGAGGGGATGATGAAACATTGAAAGACCATTTGGAGTTAACAGTCAAGGTTTTTAGAGGACAGCAGTACTGGAAAAGAGGCTTCTGGGAAAACCACAGTTACAGTCAAAAGCTATCCATTTGTTCAGTCTTGGTGAATGGATAAACTTTGATAATTATTTGAGGGAACAGATTTTTTGTTGTTGCTTTTATAACATTATGTTTTGGAGGGGACATCGATTCAACTGATATTCACCAGCAAGTTACTTATTTAAAGGGTTTCAAATATAAATGAAATATAGTTCTGCTTTTCAGTTGTTTTAAACTACTAAATGCCTACATTTTCCCTAGGTGATAGTTCCTGGTACCTGCTGAGATCACCCAGGAGAGAAGGTTTAGAATGAAAACAGAAAGGGCAGAGACCTTGGGGATAGGTGAAACAGTTGATCATAAGAGAGGGGAATTGGAAAAGGAGGTGATCTAAGAAAAGGCTGTGTGCTTTTTGTACAGCAGGCTTTCATTCTTTCTCGAAAGAAGCCTCAGTAGAATGAAACTAGACCCTTTACGTTGGTAAGAACATTTAGTGTATAAATATTCTCTCTCCCTCTTTCTTCCTCTTTTTAAGTATGGAAATTTCATCGATAACCTGAGAATCTTTGCCAAGGGAGGAAGTGGTGGAATGGGCTACCCTCGGTTAGGTGGAGAAGGTGGAAGAGGTGGTGACGTCTGGGTTGTAGCCCATAAAAATATGACCTTAAAACAACTTAAAAGCAAATATCCTCAGAAACGGTTTGTGGCTGGAGGAGGAGCGAACAGTCGGTGAGTGCCCATTGAGTGATTTGAGCTTGATGAAAAGCAAGCCCTTCTGGGGACGCATTATAGAACTTGACTAGTAATTCGAAGTAAATTATTGTCTGTGCTTCTAACCGAGCAAAAGCCTAACATGGCTATTTTGATGGTTTTGACCTTCATCCATTTACTCTCCAGGGCCCCTTTTGCTTTCCTCCATGGGAATAGGAATTATCTGAATCGCTGCTTTTTCCCAAACTTACCTTGAGCGAAATTTCAGCAATGCCACTGCAACTCATCTTCCACCCAGATATAACCCTTATTTGCTTTGAATCGACTTTCGTAATACATTTATGTGTTTATACAAATGTAATTATGTGTTTGTGTATAAAATCCAGCATAAAGAAATAAGGTAAAAGAACACAATATTTTACAGCCTCCTTTTTACTTAACCTTTTCATGCCTAAATTTTATTCAGAAAGCTGTGTATCACAGTATTGGAATTAACATTTTTGTTTTGTTTTGTTTTGTTGTTTTTTCGAGACAGGATTTCTCTGTGTAGCTTTGGAGCCTATCCTGGAACTCGCTCTGTAGATCAGGCTGGCCTTGAACTCACAGAGATCCACCTGGCTCTGCCTCCTGAGTGCTTTGATTAAAGGTGTGCACCACCACCACCACCACCACCACCACCACCACCACCACCACCACCACCACCACCACCGCCTGGCTGGAATTAGCATTTTATCATTTGCCAGTTTAGGCTAGTGTTGGTTTTGTCCTTTTTTTTTTTTTTATTGCCATAGCCACAGTGTATTAATGATCTCCCGTGTAGATTCTGTACAAGTGACCCTGTTTCTTTATTCCTATGCTTATATTCAAGTTTTTGATAAATTCCTACAAGTGGAGTTACTGTTAGAAGATTATACCAATTTATTTTCATGTAAAGTAGCCTCTTATTAGCTTCCTATAATTTAAGAACTGCCGGTTATGGTCAGTTTTTTTTTAGAAGATTCGTATATTCATTGGATTTGCTGGGGGGGGGGGTCGACTTATTTGTATTGAAGCAATCGTCTTTGTATTTTAGATGTACAATATATTAGTTCATTTCAGGTTGAAATGACTTTTAGTGGTTAACCTGATAGCAACTAGTTTCTATTTTTATAGGACACAGTATAAAATGTAAAAAATAGAAATAATCGTTTTTAGCATTTAACCTTTGAATACCTGTATTAGTGAGAAGGGTTGGTGGCTAGTTGCCTTTGTAAATAAATCATTTAATTACATGTCTTTTGTTTTGTTGTGTCTTTTGTAGAGTTAGCGCATTGAAGGGCCCCAAAGGAAAAGACTACGAAATCCCTGTGCCTGTGGGCATTTCAGTAACTGATGAAAACGGTAAAGTCATAGGTGAGTGGGCTGCAGCTTCTAAACTTAGGAGGAATGAACTCATTTTCCAAAATGAAGTCAGAAAATAGTACAGTAACTTCTTAACTTGCAGAATAAAATTTTCTTGAATGTTCAAATCACATTTGTTTTGTGGAGGCTGGAGGACAGTTTTCAGGAATCAGCTCTCTCCTCCCATCATGTGGGTTCTTGGTCATCAAGGCTGGCGGCAAGTGCCTTTGCATACCAAGCCATTTCACCGAAGAAAGGTTTTAACATTTATAATTTCAGCTACTAGCTTATTAAAGATTTTTTAAATGTACATAAAATGTATTCAAAAACTCACTGCTAGATTTAAGATGACTTTAAAGAGGTAAGAATACTTACTTAGTTTTAAAACATACTAATCAGCTTCCTTTTAGCTGCTTACAAAAATGCTGTTCTGGGTCAGTGTTTATTTGCCTTTCGTTTATGGTAGACAGACACTTTGCTTCTGAGTTGCCAGTCCTAGGGAGCTGCTTTTAAAAGCATTACATTTTTTTAAAGAAATTAAATCTTAAGTTTAGCCCTTTAGATTTCTAAATTGGAACTTCTTGGCACGTATTTGTGAAAAAAACAAAACATAGCATATTATTGGCTTTATTTATTAATGTTTGTTGTCTTTCTCTCTTCTTAAAGGAGAACTCAATAAAGAAGAAGATAGAATTCTGGTTGCTAAAGGTGGCCTTGGTGGTAAATTACATACAAATTTCTTACCTTTGAAAGGCCAGAAGCGAATAATTCACCTTGACCTAAAAGTTATAGCTGATGTAGGCTTAGTAGGGTAAGTATCATTTATATTCTTATAATACATTCAAGCAGACCAAGACTAAAAGATTAATGTAGATAATAATTTGGGCAGTGAGTATTCCTCGTTTATGTAATTTGTATGTTAGCACTGGATATGTGACCCAGGCTGTCGGGCTGGTTGGGGAGAAGGCATGAATAAGGAAGTCAGGGAGACTTACCAGGTTGGACCCTGGAGAAGGAAGTGGGAGGTCTGGCTGGGTAGAGAGGTTAGATAAATCACAGAAGGGACCTGTGGGTGGTAGCAGGTAGGATGGGTCTTGAGGAAATTTTTTTAACTGACTCTTATTATTTTTTTTTTTTTTTTTTTTTTTTGGTTTTTCGAGACAGGGTTTCTCTGTGTAGCTTTGCGCCTTTCCTGGAGCTCACTTGGTAGCCCAGGCTGGCCTCGAACTCACAGAGATCCGCCTGGCTCTGCCTCCCGAGTGCTGGGATTAAAGGCGTGCGCCACCACCGCCCGGCTAACTGACTCTTATTTTAATTCTTTTGCTTAATGCTTATATTTAATACTTAATACAAGGTGGGCCCGTAAGGGAAATTTAGCAGTAAACTCAAAAGCCTTTAAAGTGATCATATATTTTAAACTCATATTTACTCATGTAGAAATTTATTAAATAACAAATTAAAGATACAAAGATTTAAGATAGTCACCATATTGTTTAATTTTTATTTTATTTTATATGTATGTGTGTTTTGCCTTCATGTATGTCTATGTACCACTTGTGGGCTTGATAGCCTCAGAGACCAGAAGAAGGCATGTGTGGTTGCTGAGAATTGAACCCAGGTCCTCCAGAAGAGCAGCCTATGCTCTTGACCACTGTGCCATTTTTCCAACCCCTTGCTTAAAAGTTTTAGAAAAAAGTAAGACAAATATTTACATTTTTTTGCAGAAAAAAAATAAAAGAACAATTTAGTTATTAATCCTACCATTCCAAAATATCAGTTAGTAATATATATCTCTCCAGTTGTATACACATTTTTATTACATTTATTTGTGTTGTGTGTATATATATATATATATGGGCATGCAATTGCCACAGCACATGTGTAAATCCCAGGGATCAAATAGAAGTCAGACTTTACCCACTGAGCCATCTCGATGGCCTCTTGATGGCTGTTACATACATATTTTTGCAGTTATTTATAATTGCAAAAATTAGAAGCAATATAAATGTTTGTCACTAGAAAGTTGGCTGGCTAAGTTGTATATTAACCAAGTTGTTCTTAATGTCATGCAGTTTAAAAGCAGGTCAGTCAACTATGAAATATTCTTCCAAAAAAGAAAATTCAAGGCATACTAAATTAGTCAGGGTTCTCTAGGGGAACAAAGCTTATAGAATCCAGGGCAAAGGAGTGTATTGAATGATGCTGTGTGCATGGCAGCAGAAAATTCTAAACTGTAGAAAAGAAGCTCTATAGGACCAATGACCCAGTTTCTTTAAAAATAAATTGCAGGGGCTAGAGAGATTGCTCAGAGGTTAAGAGCACTGGCTGCTTTTCCAGAGGTCCTGAGTTCCAATTCCCAGCAAGCACATGGTGGCTCACAACCACCTGAAATGAGATCTGGTCCCCTCTTCTGACATACAGGTAGAACACTGTATGCATAATATATAAATAAGTCTTTAAAAAAAGGGAAATATTAAAAAAATAAGATAAATTGCAAGAGAGAAGCAAAATGGAAGGGAAGCTTATATGAAAAAGAGATTTCAGAGACAAGTTAATTTTAATGCCAAGGCTTTATTTGGATTTGTAGCCAAACAACCAGATATTAAAAATTGGAGATCCCTGAGCTACAGCTGACCTGAATGCCTCCTCTCTGAGAACTAGCTTTCATGCAATCAGAAAGCACCGTGCAAGCTTCCAAAGGAGGAAGGCAACCCAGTTCTACCCAGCTGTGGTGCCTGTGAGCCATATTTTAGCCATAACCCTAAAGATGCAGCAGTGGCATGCTTACATCGGCAGTAAGCAACAGCTCTCCGATTGGATTTAAGACATATTCAATAAGAGAGCTATCATTGTTGGTACCAGGAACTTAGCTAACTGCTGTGTGTATGAAAACACATACAAGTGATATTGTATGGACTGAGCAGGTTATATTTGGGAATATGTGTGTGTGTATACATACACACATGCATGCAGTTAATGACAGAAGAGGTTACAAATTTGAAGGAGAGTGGAGAGGAGTATATGGGACTCTTTGGAGGGAGGAAAGGCAAGGAAGAAAGGTTTTAATTGTGTTATCTCAAATTTTTTTTTTAAATAAATACTGTATTGATAATGTATTAATATTAATTGAAGCTAGGTGATTACTCTGTTAATTACTTCTGTATTTTTGTCTGTGTTTGAAAATGTTCATAATCTAAAAAAAATTAAATAATGTCAATGTTTGGCTAAAGATAGTGAATTGTGGGGCTAAAGAGCTGGGTCAGCGGGTAGGAGCATTGACAGTTTTTTCAGAGGACCCCAGTTCAATTTCCAGCATCCACATGGCAATACACAACTCTCTGTAACTCCCAGGGGCTCCAACTCCCTCTTCTGGCTTCAATAGGCACAAGACACACATGTGGCATACAGACATACAAGTAGAACGCCCATATACAGGAAGACAAATGAATTAATTAAAAAGAGAGAGAGTGAATTACAAGGTTTTGAGCTTTAAGAACTCATTTGTGATTGTGTGTATGCAGTTGTGTCTGTGGGGTACGAGCATGTGAGTCCAGTACATGTGGGGGTGTGAGGTGCCAGGTCTCGGAAGCTGGATCACATGTAAGCACTCGTGGGCTGCCCAGGAGGGGTGCTGAGTGCCAAGCTCGTTTTCTCTGGAGAAGCAGTATAAACTCTTCCTAAGCCCTCAGCCGTTCTCTCCAGCCCTGAATCATTTATTTTATTTACCTAAGTAAAGAAAAAACAGGTGCTTTACTCTTAATTCTCAAATTTATATCTTTATTCATAAGTATATTTTCTCAAGTTTTCCAATATTATTTTGAACTTACAATCTTGTGGAGAAAGGATGACGAATGCTAGGCCTCTTGAATGCAAAGCACTCATTCTACTACTGAGCTGTACCCCTGATATTCTAATCTTAATTCCAGAAATATTCAAGAAATCTACTTCTTTTGAGGAATGCTCTTTGAGACGGGGTTTCTCTGTGTAGTTCTGCTGTCTTGGAACTAGCTATGTAGACCATGCTGATCTTGAACTCAGAGAGTCCCTGCCTCCTGAATGCTGGGATTAAAGGTGTATGCCACCACCACATGATAGGAAATCTATTTCTTGATGTTGGAACACAGTCCAAGAATGGAGTTGTGTGAGAATTCTGAGTGCTTGTGAGAAAACTCCAAGAAAACAAGACAAGAGTCTTGTGACCTCAGTTTCTTCAAAACACATAATTGTTCTTGGAATATGTTTTCCTGTTCTTCCCAGGTTCAGCTGTTATTATTCATATGCCTCTATGGGAAAACCTGTCTTTACCACATGTGGCTTGTCCTTGTGACTGGACACTCATGTGATTCTTCTCATCTCTCAGAGTATAAATTGCCTGATATTTTGAATGAAGTTGACTATTGCATGAGACTTTAGCCCATCTCATTTTTAGACCCCACTCTCCGGGTTCATGACCCCAACTACAGCTGTAAACATTTGAAATATTGGGAATTCAGAAATGTGGAACTGTTAGTAATTCTGGTATTTGTTATAATGGATATATGCATTATATTGTTATAACGCATATAATGTATATATGTAATGTATTATTTCAGATTCCCAAATGCTGGAAAATCCTCTTTACTAAGTCGGGTTTCCCATGCAAAGCCTGTGATTGCAGATTATGCATGTAAGTATAATTGGTGTATTTTAATATGTGAGGGTAAATTTTCTTTGCATAAGAATAATAAAACTCTGAGGTTAGCTTTAGTTTGAAAGCTTTCAGCAGTTAGATTCCATGCATTTCTTTTTACTCTTTCAGACCACAACAGTCCTCACAAAAGTTTCCTGTCCTTGTTAGGAACTTTGCTGCATTTATTTCTCTGTTGCACAGTCACTATTTGCTTTACATAGGATTTTATAAGCTACTTAGCTCTTGTTACACACTGTGATAAATACTAGGAAACAGAGATGAATATTTTTATTAATTTTATGAGGATTTATTTCTAGGAACCATATTAGGTTATACTGCTAGAAAATCTAATGAGCAATTTATACTTAGACTTATAATTGTACTTATACTAAAGGAGAAAGGAATGTGTGCATTTCAATGATAAATATAAGGGAATGAAAGTGTTTTGTTACAGAGTGTAAGTAAGTGTAGACCTTGATAGAATGTGCTTGGCTGAGATATGAAAAATAATTTGATTAATCAGTGCCGTAGAATAGAGGTGAAGGGTCTTTAAGTCATGAAAACAGCCTGTACACAGCTTAGTAGTTACAAGGAAGTTTGTCTAGAGAAAATGAAGTAAGAGACAGAGAGAAATGAGATTAAAATCAGATCAAATTGCATAGACTATGCGGGTTGTCTTTTATCTTATTAAATGTCACAAGAGTATTTGGAAGACTTTGTGCAATGGATAAAATAGACTTTCCAAAAGTTCTCTTAGCCTATAATATAGAAATTGATTGGCATAAAGCATTAATGACTCTAGTTAATATGCTTGTGCTGTAGATAGATGAGATATAGTAAAAGAATAGTTTAAAGGTATTGAGTGAGTCTGATAGACTATTTGCCGTTATTAAACAAAAAAGCACAGAATGGCATTAATCTGGAAAGTAATATTAAACCATTCAAACACATGAGACTCCTTAGAAGAACAGTGGAGGGATTCTAGGTTGCCTTCTCTTGCTGTGATCCACACCCTGACCAAATCAGCTTGGGAAGGAAAGGATTTATGTGGCTCACAGGTTATAACCCGTCACCAGGGGAAGCCAAGGCGGACCTCAGGGTGGGAGCTTGAAGCAGAGACCACAGACGAATGCTGCTCACTGGCTTGCTGCTCTGGCTTGCTCAGCTGCCCTTCTTGTATAACCGAGGACCACCTTTTCAGGTTCACTGCCCACAGTAGACTGGGCCCTTCTCCATCAGTCAGCAGTTTAAAAATTATGTTTATATATATGTCTCACATAGACATGCCTACAGGCCAGTAACTCTTCAGTTGAGATTTCCCTTCCTCGGGGTTGTCAAGTTGACAAGCCAGATTCGCCACACAGAAGGAAAGACAAAAACGTCCTAGGAGAAGGCTAGTATAAAACGACAAAGCATGAGAACAACGCAGGTGAGACCAGACTAGAGGAACTTCACTCGGCCCTGGAAGGTGGTTTGTGGGTAAAGGTACTTGCCACTGAACCCTGAGTGTCACTACATCTGGTGGGAGGAAAGACGCGAGTCCTGTAGGTTCTCTGACCAGTCCATACCAGTCCATGCACAAGCCCCTCCCCCAAGTAAATACATACACAAAGGCAATGAATTTAAGGAGAAAGGAAAGAAAATTTTTACTGCAGAATCAGTGATTGTGATCAGAACCTAAATTCTGAGCCCTAAAGTTCTGAAGCTGCTCCTGGCCATGCAACAGCACTTAAGGCCAGAGCACAGAAGTGTCTCTCTGTCTTTTAAAGTACAGTGTGAACAACAGAGATAACTGTAGCTTCCATTTGAACACATTAAAATGGGACTAGATATTCAGAAGGTAGATACTATTCATTCTATATACAATGTTGCCATTTTTCTAGAGAATTAGTCTTTTATTCTTTCCTTATTGTACTGTTCTTTTTTCTTCAGTTACAACACTAAAGCCTGAACTTGGAAAGATTGTGTACAATGATTTCAAACAGGTTAGTATTTTTAAAGCAAAACACAACACATGCTTAGAAGTTACAATTTTTTTGGTAGTATGACTTTAAAATAATATATATTATTGTTATTTATTCATGTGTGTGTTTATATAAGTCAGATGGGTATCAGAGTCACTGTAGGTGGTATTACAGGAAGTTGTGAGCTGCATGATTTGGGTGCTGGGAATTGAACTTGGATCCTCTGCAAGAACAGTATGTGCTCTTAGCCACTGAGCCATCTCTCCAGCTCAGTCTTGGAGAAAAAAACAGATTGTGGTTGTTGTTTATGATAAGTAAAACTGTTCAGCATTATTATAGTAAAACATAAATTTAATTCTTGTTCTTCAAAATGTTACGTTCATGTCATCCCTATAGAATTATGTCTTCCCTAATCTGTATCTTGTCAGTATATGCCCATATTTTACTACCCCAGTGAATTATTAATTTCCAGTTCCTGAAAGCTCTTCTATAGAAATGATAGTGCTTCCATAGGAACTGTTTCATTCCAACTTTCTGGTTCTGGGAAAAGGTTTCATTGAGGTGTGCTTTACATTCTTCATACGGAAGAACTATAGAGCTTCTTCCTATCCACAGAGAAGCTTTATTCATAATTATTAGAACTTGGAAATAATCAAGAATCTCTCAGTATATGAATGGATAAACTGTTACATCTGGAGAATGGAGTAGTCAGTTCTAAAAATTAATGAATTATGAAGCCGTGAAAAGATTTAGAAGATCTTGAGTACATATTGCTCAGTGAAAGAAACCAAAAGACACATTAAAACATATGCACACAAGAATTAATTATTTGTGAAAAGAAAATTACGAACTTACCTTATTAATAACTGTTATAATAAGTAAAGTAATAAATATTAAACTAAGCCCACAATATCTATAGATTGATTGAGTAATGAGTTAAAACAGGACCCAAATATCTGATAAACGATTTTAACATGTTTATTTCAAAGATGTCATAGAGTGATTAATTAGAAACTATATATGAAATATGAAAATTTGGGAATAATTGAACTTGGTTTTCATCTATTTTTCTTTCTCATCAAATCATTACTTTTGTATTAGATTTCAGTAGCCGATCTCCCAGGCTTGATAGAAGGAGCACATATGAACAAAGGAATGGGCCACAAATTCCTCAAGCATTTAGAGAGGACCAGACAACTGCTTTTTGTTGTAAGTCATACATACCAGTGTGAGATTCAAATGAATTAACTTGCTTTTCCTAGAAGTGCTTTGTAAGAAAGATTAAAGATACTGTGCCACAAAACCCTACTTTCATTATTGATGGTCTGTTATGTATCTTATGGGCATCAGAGGCTTTTACAACCTGGTGACATCACAGCCATCTTAGATGTGTGTTCACACTCTGTAAATTCACATAGTGATAAAGTTATTGGATGTGTTTTCAGAATGCAGCCCTGGTATTAAATGGTACATGACTGTACTAGTAAATACCACTCCAGTAAGTCTGTTTCAATGGGGGACAAATCAGTAGGTAATATTTGTTTATAATATGGGCATGGAAATGCTGTTGCTACTGTGTTGTGTGCACATTTGGCCATACTTACCAAGATTTGATTCCTTGAGATTTTAGCATACTCTTCTATAGTATCTCTTTTGTTCTTAGTGGGCGATGCTTGAGTAATGCTTATAGTTAGCATGACAACTCAGTTTCTGTCCTTGCACTTAATGACTCAATTGCCAGTAAAATATAGATTAAGAAGTTATTCTTTGTTGAAATTATTGAGAGAGAAGACGTTGCTAAGCATAGAACTGAGTAACCATTTTATGTTCTGGGTTTTCTCTTCTCTCCTTTTAGGTTGATATTTCTGGATTTCAGCTTTCTTCTGTAACTCCATACAGAACTGCCTTTGAAACTATAATACTTCTTACAAAAGTAAGTTTTTTTATTTGCTGTGTTCTGGAGCTAGTTTCCCGTGTATAGTAACCAGAATAACCACCCTCTAAAAGATTGTATTCAGTTAAAGAACCAAAGTTGCTGTTTCCAGTTCTTCAGTATTCACACATTCCTCATTATTCCATGGGTAACACCCTCTCAAGCTCCATATCCCTCACATCTTATCTTGCTTCTGCTCTAGTGTCTGTCTTCTTGAAACATTCTCCACTATTAAAAACTCTCCTCACTTTTTTTTTCTTCTTTTTTTGGAGGTAATGATCAAACCATGAATGTTACACAAGCATTCCACCATTAAGCTCTAATCCCAGCACTTGTCTTACCATTTAGGCAAGATTATTGAGAGTTATTTTGTAATCTTACCTACTGTCATTTTTTTCTCATTGCTTACAATGAATGTACCCTTGACTGCCAGATCTGTAACTGCTAACCAGATCTTTTGTTTATGCTTTAGACTGGATACTTACTAGGCATCTGTGATTGTTATGTTGACCACTCAAAGTAAGAGGCAACAAAACAAAACAAAACAAAAAACCAATCTTTTTTGTTTTAGTTCTTTAGCCACCCCCACAACTTTATGAAATTTACTCCTAAGTACATGTGCCTTTTCTAAGAATGCAGCAGTATTAAATTGTTATTATTGGCCTAAGTCTTTTCTCTCAGGAGTCTAGTTACTTGCATTTGACTCGAGACACAAAATCAGCTGCTTCTGGGAAGTCATGTGAGCTAACATCTTATTCACATGGTTTAGCAAGTAGCATTTTCTGAATTTCCTTTGTTTTATAGTTATTGGGATTTATTGCTTTGTGGTGATATGAATGAGCTATAGGTTTCTCAGGTCATTAAAGAAATATCACCATAACCTTCATTTATATATATATATATATATTGTTGAAAAAATTCCTTGGTTTTTCTTTTCATTTAAAGGAGTTGGAGTTATACAAAGAGGAACTGCAGACAAAACCTGCACTCTTGGCAATTAATAAGATGGACTTGCCAGACGCCCAGGTTAAACTGGACGAACTGATGGAGCAGCTCCAGAACCCTGCAGGTACAGCTCATTCACTCTCCTGTTCCCCAGGACTAGCTGTATGCAGAGAATGTCAGGCCTTTTCACTTTTGTTCTTCTTGGTGGAGGAGTTAAGTTTCTGAGCGTCTCCTGTAGCTCAGACTGGCTTCAAATTTACCACCTTGAATTCCTGCCTCCACCTCCCAGGTACTGGGATTATAGGAATGTACTACCATGACCAATGACAGCAAAAATCAGTGGAAAAGAAAGCCAATCGTTTCTACTCAGAAACTACATTTGAAGAAAGAACATATAATGGATAAGCACTGAAATAGCATTGACCAGTCATTATCAAGTCTCAAAATGAGTGATACGCCGGGCGGTGGTGGCGCACGCCTTTAATCCCAGCACTCGGCAGGCAGAGGCATGAGGATCTCTGAGTTCGAGGCCAGCCTGGGCTACCAAGTGAGTTCCAGGAAAGGCACAAAGCTACACAAGAGAAACCCTGTCTCGAAAAACCAAAAAAAAAAAAATGAGTGATACAGTTAAGTTAGAGAAAGAAAAGAAAGATTACTTTGGTCCAAAATGATTAGACTTTATAAAGAATTAAAATTTATGTGGAGCTTTAAAGGGTGCAAGAGAGGGCCTAGAGATGCCTCAGCCATTGAGAGCCTGTGCTGTTCTTGTGGAGGACCAGAGTTTGGTTTCCAGCATTTATGTCAGGGGCCTCATAACTACCTGGAACCCAGCTTGATGAGGGTTCCATGCCTCTTGTGCTCACCCATACATCTACACACCCAGACATCCATTCATGCACTTAATTAGAGATAAATCTTTTTGTTTGTTTGTTTCTTGAGTTTGTTTGTTTTTGTTTTTTTCTTATTTTTTGACAGGGTTTTGTAATAGCCTAGAAATCTGTAGACCTGGTTGGCTTTAAACTCACAGATCCACCTACCTCTGCCTCCTGAGTGCTGGGATTAAAGCTGTGTATCATCGTGACCAGCTAAAAATAAAATAAACCTTAAAAAAAAGGAAACAAAACCAAAACACAGGAAATGTGGGTAAAAGGAGAAAAAGTCAGCAACTACCTCTGAAGCATTAGCAAGTTTTATCAGCCCTAGAGTTTTATCTCACGAGTGCACACTGTACTTTAACAGACCTAGTAGGTTTACTTGTGTTTTGAGATTTTATATGTGTGTGGCTGTTTTATCTGTGTGTGTCTGTGTACCATGTGCATGCCTGGCGGAAGGCATCAGGTCTGGGACTGGAGTTACACGTGGTTAGTTACCATGCTGGAACTGAACCTGGGTCCTCTGGAAGAGCAGCCAGTACCCTTGACCGCTGAGCCATCTCGCCAGCCTGAGAGCTGGTAGTTTTAAGAGGTTTTTTTGGTTTTATTAAAATTAATTTAGTAACTCTGAAGAATACTAGTTTTTAGAAAGGAACATTTAGTCCTGTGTTTATGTGACATAGAAAATAAATCCTGTGACTAAAGGATTTGTCTGTAATTTCTTAAATGGAAGTATTTCCACTATATAAAAAATTTAAAAGGTCTATGTTAGTTACTGTTCCGTTGCTGTGAAGAGACACCATGACCAAGGCAACTCTTAGAAAGGAAACATTTAACTGAGGCCTTGATTACAGTTTCAGAGGCTTAGTCCATTATCATCATGGGGGAGGGGCATGGCACTGGAGCAGTATCTGAGAGGTATATCCTGATTCACAGGCAGAAAGACAGACAGACAAACACTGGGCCCTATGTGGGCTTTTTGAAATGCCAAGCCCACCCCCACTGATGTACTTCCTCCAACAAGGCCACACCTCCTACTCCTTCTAATCCTAGCCAAGACTTCCACTTGTGGTGACTAAACATTCAAATGTATGAGCCTACAGGGGTCATTCTTATTGAAACCACCACAGAGACTCTCCACAGTTTGGAAAACTGACTGTTGTAAAACACTATTTTCCTGTGGTGGTGATAGTTTCAACTTCAGGGTCTAGGAGAAGGCCTCATCTACAAATGGCAAGTGGCCATCTGCTTTGAAGAATACTGATTTCTCTCCTTTCTATTGCTGGAGTGATGATCATTGGGGAAAACAGACTTTAATATACTGGGATTAGCAGACAGCACTAAGGTCATTTTTCTCCTCTTGAAAATCATTCCCCTACATGATAAACATGTTAGAACTGCCCCTGAGTTAGTAAATTAGTCCTGGGACATAAATACTCCTTCATAGTCTTCATTCCTTAATTCCTTGCTTTATCGGGTCAGTAGTTCTCTTTGCAACTGGTGGTACTAGAAGTGAGGCTCACTGAAGAGTCTGTGTATTCTGGACCACCGCAGTTCTCTCTCTGTTTGCCTCTCTGGACTTCCTTGGGGTATCTAACTCTGAGAAGTCAGGCTCCGTGATAATTTCCATCTACCCATTTTAGTTTATGTGACAGTTTGCTGTCCCCTTTCACCTCACACCCCACTGCCATGATGTTAGGGAGAAGATAAAGTCATGCAGCTCTGGTAGCCCCTAAGTGATGGACTGGACTCAAGTGTCTGCCCTTGGACCATTCAGCCTTATGCTTCAGTTTCAAATGTGGATCCTGGTCTCCATTTAAATAGTGAGAAGCCTGTACCTGAGGGAAGTTAAAGCTTATGTTTGTACTGAGACAAGCCAGAATGTTCCAAATGATGTCACTGTTTTTATGGAAGCTTCCTTTCAGGGTCTCTATATTGCCTCATTTCATTCAGCCTCCTCAAGCACATTTTGTTATTCCTTTAAGTGTTGTCCTGATTTGTCTAATATTTATTGTTCATGTGGTTTGAAATCAATTTCTCCTACAGTTCCTTACCAAGTGCTTACCATGTGCTAAGAACCACCATTGTCAGTAGTAAAACAAAGATCCCGAGAGCTGGTGAGACAGGGCGGCGCGGGGAGGAGTCCTGGTGCGAAGTTGGCAGTTCCTTGCTTCTCCAGTCAAACCTCTGTGTAGTTTTGATTTAATTTTCAAAAAGGCATAAAAATCACCTCTTCTTTGTTTCAGGTTTTCTGCATTTATTTGAAAAAAACATGCTTCCAGAGAAGGCTGTGGAGTTCCAGCATGTCATCCCCATCTCCGCAGTGACTGGGGAAGGGGTGGAGGAGTTGAAGAGCTGTATAAGGAAGTCCCTGGACGAGCAGGACAGCAAAGACCGCGAGGCACATCATAGGAAACAGCTGCTCAATCTGCAGATTTCCAGTGCAGCACCCTAGAGAGCCACACCAAAGCGTGCTCTTTCTGCTTCCAAAAGGGCAATGCTGAACTCTAGTATAATGTAGTGGTGGAATACTATTGGGTTCCAACGAAGAAGGAAATCCTGTTATTTAAGACTCAGATGAGCCTGGAATGCTTTATGTTCAAAGAAGCTGGCAGGCCCAGCAAGACAAATGTCACATAATCTCACATGTGGAATCTTTAAAAAAAACAAATTGAACAAGTAGGAATCCTGAAAAGTCATAAATATTAAGGAGAAGGAAATAGAAGGTTAAGAGATGTTGCTCAAAAGATAGAAAGTTTCAATTAAGCTTTGCAGAGCTGTTGTATAGCTGGTTGTTTATAGTTAGAACAATGTATCATATTTTGAAAATTTGTAAGAAAGTAGGTTTTAAGTGTTCTGACCACAAAGAAAATCTGAGAAAATTTATTTTAAATTAGCTTGATTCTGTATTTCAAAACATGCTGTGTATAATAAAGATGCATGTATAGTTTTTATGTGTCAAGTAAAAATGATATTGCAGTTACATTAATTTAAAAGTTTTTCCATGTTTTTTTTTTCTCTGTGTAGCTTTGTACCTTTCCTGGATCTTGCTCTGTAGACCAGGCTGGCCTCGAACTCACAAAGATCTGCCTGCCTCTGCTTCCCGAGTGCTGAGATTAAAGGCGTGCACCACCACCACTGCCTGGCCCATGTTTTTAAGATAATCTTTATCAGTAGTTTCCTTATATATGTGCCATCACTCAGGAAGAGAAATTTTCCTCTTCCTCCTCTGGTGTTAGCTCAGCAAAGCAATTTCTTTTTACAAAAACATCTACAAGACCCAAACTGGACTAGCATGCACACTGAGACCAACACAGCTCCTATATTTTATCCCTGTTGTGGGTGATGACTGGGTCTCATCCCATTGGTGGGAACTCAACCTCATGGTCTGGCTAATGGCTATTCGGGTCAAAGGGGACAGGCAGTCCAGGAAACAGGAGTCCTCACTGACTAAATTACATAGATTTTAAAGTTTCTCACAACTACCTCCTCTTTATTACATTATTTTTCAAATTAGGTAGCATATGTTTGCCATTTGAGTTTCTAGGAAAAGTAAATGATTCATGTAATTGATGGGTGAGCCTACCTTCCAGGAATATGCATTTACTTAATTCTTAAATTATTTAAACAATACTTACAAGTAGAGATTTTTCCTTTAGGTGAAATTTGTTATAAAATGTAAACATTCACTTTAAAAAAATTGTAAAAAAAAATTCAAGCAGTATACAGGAGTATGAGGCAAAGACATTTCTGTTTGCTGAGACACTTCAGTCTTTCCCAGAGGAAGCACTGGAATTAGCTTATGTTTTTACAGAAATTTTTGTTCTTTTTCTTTTTACAAAGTAGCAGACAGTTAATGAGCTTTCAAACATTCCTGGGCCAAGCATGGTGGTCCATGATAGTGCGGGCCTTTAACCATTTTGAGTTGAAGACCTCCTGGGCAACTTAGCAAGTTCTAGGCTAGTCTGGACTTCATAGTGGGACCATGTCTCAAAAATGTTGTTCTTTCGTAATACGTTTAATTTTATTATTTTATGTGTACTGCTGCTTCCCTGCAACCAAGTCTGTGTGCATATGAATTCAGTGCCTATAGAGGCCAGCAGAGGGTGTTGAATACCCTGGAACTGGTATTACCTACGGTTGTGAGCCATCATGTAGGTGCTGGAAATCAGACCCAGGTCCTCTGCAAGAGGAGCCAGTGCTGAGCCACCTCTCCAGCCCCTTTCTTTAATATATTTTATTTATTAAAAATTACTTGATAATTTAGTGCTTAGTAACAATTGTGATGATTGACCCCTTCTAAAAAAGTGTTTTTTTTAATAGTAAATTGATTGGACTTAAATTTTTTCTGACTTTAATAATGTGGGTACTTTTATAAATATTATTTCAATTTGATTCTAGTTTCTGCTCTCTATGCCTACCTCTCATTCTAATGCCTGAACTAGTCCTTGTATCCTTTTTCTGTAGATGTAACCAACCGTCTTATTAAATAAGAAACACAGAAACAATGTAAAAGAGAAAGCCAAGAAAGAGGTCAGAGCTCAGAGCTAAAATCTCACCCTTCCTCCTGTGGTGGTCCTGGCTTCCCGAAAGAGCTATTTCCCTGTGTGTAAGTCGTTTCATAGTCATTCTGCCTGCTCATTGGTTGTAAACCCAAACACGTGACTGCCTCGTCACTGTCTGTATGTACAGCCCCCCAGGTCTTAAAGGCATATGTCTCCAATGCTGGCTGTATCCCTGAACACACAGAGATCTATGGGATTAAAGGCGTGTGCCACCACCGCCACACTCTGTCTATGGCTCTAATAGCTCTGACCCCCCCGAGCAACTTTATTTATTAACATACAATCAAAATCACATTTCAGTACAATTACAATACCACCACATTTTTCTTCATCACACGGCTATCTCCTGATTCCTGTGCAGGGGCTGCAGGGCTACAGAGAACAGCCAGGCCCCGCTCGTGCTTCCCAGCACGGAAGTGAGGCTGAGCATTTACCCTGGCGACCTCATGTGATCGCGGCTGGGTTTGCCCCCTTCTAGCCCATCAGTGCCCTTACGTGATCGCGGCTGGGTTTGCCCCCTTCTAGCCCATCAGTGCCCTTAGCTGTTTTCTGACTGACAGGTAGGGTCGAGGACAGCTTCGGGGGGGGGGGGGTGGTGAATTCAAGAGTCTGTGGTTGATCTGATTTTGTCCTTTGTGAGGGATGTATATTATATTTTTGATTTCTGATTATTTTCTGATTAGAACTTGGCAGGTAGAGAACATATCAACCAGTGGGTTTCATTTTTATCTTCCATGGGTGTTGTTAACTAGTTGAAGGAGAATAGAAAGCAGGCTATGGAAATGGAAAAGGGCGTAGAAGGAAGATAATTTTAACTACTGGAAATTCCCTGTGGATAACTTAGGAGAAACAAGGAAGGTCATCCCCTCTGTTGGCCATGATCAGTGTGAAAAGGAGGGGTAGTTTTAGCTACTATTTCTGACCATACCCACCCACTTGCTTGGGGCAAATTATAATTTTTAAATGTTTTCACCATGTGACAGTTTATTAATTAATAGTTACCAGATACTTGGAAGACTGTAGAGGAAGTTATCCTCTTTGTACACATCATTAAAGTATCTTCAATAGAAACTAAGACTGGGATGCCCAGATACAAGCTGTGAAGCATACCTGCTGTCTGAATCATGACCCTTGAAATACTTGGAATTTGAAGAACAGGATATGTGGTTTATATGGTAACTAATTTTGAAGCAATATATGACAAAGTATTTTTTTCCCATTTGTTTTTTAAACTCTGAGTGTGTTCAAAGTTGAAAGCAAAGGACAAAAGCTTCCTTTGTTAAGGACCTCATATACCAGTGTGTCTTTTTGAAATTGCCAGTGTTTTCTAACTTTATTTTTTATTTGTTATCAAACATTATTTTGATATTATTTCTATATAAAGACTTGAAAAGACTGTGGTATAATTTTATTATATTAAGCAAAACCACATAATTATACAGCTAAAATATACATTTATTTCTATTTGTATATTGTTTGCTACAAATTACAGGATATGGAGACTGTTTGAAATCAAGGACAGATGTTGAGTCAAAGCTCTTACTAGAAGGATTTGAAACATGATTAAATAAAATAGCTAAAGCCCCTAGTCAGCTGCCTTGTAATGGGGGAAACAAGAGTACTATATAATAATTGAACCTCAGTTTCAAAACAAATCTTTCCCGGAAGTGGTACCATTTGGCATCAAGAACAATAGTAAGAACTGTATGATTAATATAGATGGATTTTTCTATGAAACTAGACCACAAAAGCTAATCTGTTTCAAAGTTTAAGGCAAAAGTCTTTTAAAAACTGGGGCAGGAGGTAATAGTGATGGTCGTCATGGATACACTAAAAGGTTTAAAAACTGGAAAACAGGTACAGGCAGATCCTTCATTGCCTCACATCTAGACAAATTCCTCTGTATCATCCCCTCCTTCCTCTCCTCAGGTGTCTTCATTACAGAGTAGAAGTGTGCTCTAGGTTGGGAGCATGTCTCTGTAACCCCAGCCACTTGGCAGGAAGGATAAGACAAGGCCAGCCTGGGCTACCTAGAGTCCTGACTGAAAAATAAATGAATGCAGTTGTGCTTTGCTTTTTAAGGCTGGGGATATCATTCAGTGGCAGAGTGCTTAGCATGCGTGAGGCCATAGGTTCAATCCCTGATACCGTACCTACATAAAATGAAATGTGCTGCCATACTTCCTATTATGGACTATACTGTGGATTCTTAAGCGTTTTTGAACATGCATCAAAAGAAACTTTTCTCTTTTCCTGTGCTGTCTTTTGTTTTGTTTTGTTTTTTTAAAATGACACTCTACGCTGCTCAGGGAGGCTTTTGAATTCCTGGGCTAAAATGGTCTTCCTCAGACAAGTAGCTATAGGCATGTGCCACCACACCTAGGTGTTTTAGAGCTGTCAAGTGTTGTCTGTTTAACTTACTCAGAACTGTCTTCCCTTGCTTTCTTTGTTCATTAAAGGAGGAAACAAGATGTGGTTCCTCATTTAAGTAAAGTGTGGAAAATATATCAGTGAAAACGGGTAATAAAGTGAAACTCATGTGGTAAAGACTTGGTGAATGCCACAGCGGGTACAGTTCATTGGTACTGGCCAGTGGTGGATTGGAAGCACTGGCGGCCAGACACATGGATGGTAATTACATACTGAAGTGACGGCAGGTCTGGGCCAGCGATGTGAGAAAATAGGTCACCCCCCCCCAAGAAAGTGTATTGATGGGGGGAGAGGAGGACCAGCCTGCTGCCAGTTCTATAGAAATTGGGGAGGAGAAAATGAAAGCAAAAGGTTGGCAAGGAACTAGCTAGAGAAATTAGAAACAGGAATGGCAGCATTGTCAAATCCAAGGAAAAGAAGTTTTTAAAAAGTGGGGAAAGAAAAATGAGAAAACTCAAAAAACAGATTTTTGAATTTGGTGGAATTCAAAATGGAAGAGGTTGTTAGGAATATGATAGGCAGAATATTTCCTAAAGGTAACCAACCACATCCTCTTCTCCAGAATCTGAACCTGTCATGTTACATGGCAAGGTGTGTATGTGTGTGTGTGTGGGGGGGGTAGGTTTGGGGTGAAATTAAAATTGCTAGTCAGGTCCACAGAATTGTGACATCTTATATGGGTGTGCCCGAGTCATCACAGGGTATCAAGATGGAAGACGTTTCAGAATGGTGAGGTGTGAGGAAGCCTTGGCCAGCCATTGCTGATTCTGAAGACGGGGGAGGGCCTGTGTCACCCTTTTCATCACGGTGACACACTGACAAAGGGAACATAGGAAGGGCTGACTCTGGCTCCCATCTGAGAGGTGCAGCCCATGGTGGGGAACATGGGGAGGAAGGGCTGACTCTGGCTCCCATCTGAGAGGTGCAGCCCATCGTGGTGGCGCAGGTGTGAGAGGAGAGGGGCCACGAGGCACCTCATCCACACCCAGGAGGCAGAGAAGCTGGGGCCAGAACCAGGAGTGGGGTGGTAAGACCTGTGCACTGGAGACCAATGTCCTCCTGCTCTGCTTGGAGACTGCATGGTTTCTGGCCTTGGACAGACTTGTGATTTTCTCCTCTTTGAGTAGCAGGCCAGTTGTTACTATAGCAACACAAAATGGAAACTTAATAGCCAAGTCCTTGTGTGTCAGATACTGTTGTACTTTTCTATGTATTGCATATGAGGATTACATTAATTTAATCCTCATGATTTCCTGCTGTAGGCACACTGTTCTACAGATGGAGACCTTGTGGCACCACAGGGCTATTGGTCCAAGGTCACACCAGGGCAGAGTAGAACAGACATGGGTGAGATCTTTTACACTTGTGTCAGCTATGATGATTTTCCATCCTTTTTGAGAAATTGCAACTGAGAAGTTACAGAACATTTAAATGGCTAGTATAAGAAACATTCCTGTACTTGCTTAGAATCAAACGTTGTTCCCTAACCTAGAGGCTCTTTGCAGTTGTTATCTGCCGGGAAAGAGGAGATGAGTTTTCTCCACGACAGCAACCACAAGAATAGTTGGCTAACACAAAACAAGACACCATGGTTTTTATGTGCTTTTCGTCAGGATTTGGTTTGGTTTTATTGGGGGTTTTGTTTCGATTCTCATAGGTTTTATTTTTGAGAAATAACATGAAGTTGGGTAGGTAAGGAGGTGGGGAGAATCTGGGAAGAGTTGGAGGAGGGGAAAGAATATAATCAGAATGTATGAAAAAATTATAAGTAATTTTTTTAAAGTTGTCAACATTGACCAGTTTTTGTTTCTCCATTTGTGTATATGGTGCGGTGGGATCATTTGGAAGTCGTAGGCATCACATCTCTTCAATCTTTTTTTTTAAGCAGTCGGATACTGTGTAGGGATCCTTTGAAATATTTACCTGCACAGGACTCACATTTAAGAGAAGACGAGATAGGATAGTTGATGTGGAGAAGAGTCAAGTTAAATACCTAATAACTAGTTTTACGTAGGAACCTGCTGAGGTAGATTATCGTTTGCCCATTGTTAGATAAGCACAGAGGTAACATGCAAAGGGCCCCTTGGAAACCTGTGTGGTTATTCTTTTGCATCTAATCTAATGGACATTTGGTTGAGTACTGAAACGATTCTCGATTTTGTTCCCATGCGTGTGCCTGACCGCTTTTTTAAGCCAATTCCTAAACCTGGCCATAACGGTGCAAGAGGAAGCGAGGGAGGCGGGACCCGGAAGGAGGAGGTGCTCGCAGGATACGGCCTGTGGCCCTCGGCCCGGTGGATGCTGGGAGCTGTAGTTCCGCGCAGTCAAGGTATTCCCGAGCAGGGCCCGGGGAGAGCCTGACTGGCTCCCTGAAGCCACTGGGGCGGCTTCGCCGGGACGCACTTCCGCGGCCGCGGAGGCAGACGCCGCGAGAGGTTGCTCCGAGTGGGCGAGCGGGATGCTCGGGCCGTGAGGGGTCGGTAGGTGTGGCCGGGGACGCTCCGGTTTCGGAGTCTTTGCAAGTAGTTGAGGGTGTCGTGTGAAACGGCGAAGTGGCGGCGAGTGGGCATTTCCAGCGTCTGCCCCCATGTGCGGATGTGGAGACTGGCCGCGGAGGTATTTGGTGAAGCGTTAAAGCATTTCCCTTCCTCCAGAGGAGTATGGAAATGGGGAGCCGCCTTGCCGGGGGAGCTGCGGGCTGCGAGCGGGTGGGCGGGGGTGTGAGGCGCGAGCTGCTATTTTCGAACCAGGCAGCTGATGCGGCCGGTTGTGTAACGACGGACGACCTGCTGCAGCCGCCGCCGCCCGCGGTCCCCACGCGCCGGGCAGGGGTGGGCTGGGGA